TTCGAACAACGAGGCTTAAAGGTTGAACTCTCTTCGACCAACGTTACACGAAGCTGAAGCTTTTGAAGGTTCACGACTGAAACTTTAAAACTTGGCAATTTGGAAACTTTGTAACACTATCATCGACATGCGCGATACTTGACAGTCAATGATAATATTTAATAACTGACTTTGTGTACAATTTAAACACGAGTATTTTACAGCTCAACGCTTAAATCTTCGAGGCACGAATCGTGAAAGCTTTGTTTAATAACAGCTCGATCAGACATGCGTACGAAGTTGATACAAAAATTGGAAATTTCGTTGTCGAAAGTCATCGACTGACTGACTGATGGTAGCAATAACACATACGAATGGCTCTTTTCGTTTAGGGTTTCTGGAAAAGAATTCCAACTCGCCGCGACTCTTGGTCGTCGAAGGTTTAACAACCCCTCGAAACGCCATAAACCTTTTTACGACATGAACGAAGCGACACGGTCCATACATGAGAGATTCGCCGTGCGAGTTAGGTATAAATTTCTGCTTTTAGCAGCCCCCCCGTTAGTCCTTGTCAGTGCGCCTAATGTACATATATACGCGTCGATATATTTGCGTTACGTAAGATTTTACGAGGTAAAAGGAAGTCGGGTAGAAAAGTCGCAAGATATAGCCGAACATCGGTGAATATCTTTCAGTTTGATGAGAAATCGATGTTCGTATGGTACTTTTCACCCCCAGTTGTTTTGATATACAGCGCCTCGCATTGATATTCGGACACTAAATATTGGAACTGTCACCGTTTCGTAAAACAAGTCGTACGACGATAAACTAGGGTTCGTTTCAAATGTTCTTGGAGCACACGAACATGTTATAAACTTTCACAGCGTGTAAAAACGTTGAAAAAGTTTCTTCGTCACTGATTCTACAACAAATTTGAAGATTGTGTAAAATTTGATGTACGATTTTTTTCGCCATTTCATTAAACATTGAATATTAGCCTCAGACGATGAATAAAAGATCCAAGAAATCGTAACACTTTCGTCGTTACATTCAAAATTCAATAAATTAGCGAAAAACAAACGCACGTTAAGTTTTATAAGATCATTGCAAAGGGAAGACTTCGAACTTTAAAACAAACTCAGATTTATTGTTGTACGATTTTTTTTAATGAGGTTTTTTTAAACATCGAAATTTTTTTCAAACTTCAAAAATTTAATATTCGAACAATTTCGTGAGCAATTGCAGATTTAATATTAATTGATTAACTTGAACATTATGTAAAAGTAGTGTCACGGAATAGCAGTAGCACTCTGTCTGTTGACTATGCTGTCGAAAATTTACTGCACATTCGCGAAGAGAAATCATGTTAATCGTGACGAATATGAATATCACGAAGGAGAATAATTGGTAAAATAAACTCGTGCAATTACTCGAAGTTATGGTTCTCATATTTTCTAGTGCCTTTGAGAGTAAGTGGTTAAATGGCAAAGAGCAGAATATTTGAAAATTATTATTAAATTTTGCTTTTGAAGTTAAGAATTATCGTAGAAAATTTTATTACAGATTTAATGACTGTATATGAAAAGTTTTATTTCTGTTAATTTCGGTATCGTTTCCAAAATAGAATGCACTTCCTTGTATGTAATTTCTGTTACATTAAACTAAATATTTAATTTCTCTTCACTTTCAATTACAGTATACATAAAAATAAAATCGAAAGTTTATTGTTGTTCAACGAAATATTTATTTTCTGTCGCGTTTCTTAAAATCGAATAACTTTCTTGGTGAACATATTTGAAACATATTTCTCATACGTTCTTGCAAAATTAATAGCTCCACGATTTCTTTTGCTTTGATAAATTTTGATAAAGCGTGTTTCCTTTGTGGGAAATTTTGGATCATGTCTCTTTATTTTAAACGTAATACAAAGTGTATGGAACACGTTTAGGAAAATTGATAGTGTCATTAATAACGTAGGAAATGTTCTACAAAGTGGAGAGAATATTGGAACTTATGATACTGGATGAAATATACGGAACAGAGATGTTTATGAATAGAATAAAAAAATAGGAAATATATTCAGTAAAAATTATACTAACCGTAATAAAATGATTTTATCGAATACCAAAGCTCTTCGATACAGTGGATTGTCGTTGTTCAAATATTTCAATCGTTACATTATTATTTAATTTAACATCACAATATTATTTAATATTATTTAATGATGTATCAAACGTAATATATAATATATAAATAATAAATTCATTAACTTAACGTATCCGTACGGAATTTTCGTACACCGTTGCAACATCGAATGTACATATAATACAATAATCCACGCGCTGCTAATTATTACATTTAATAACAAAAACCAATATTAGCCAATGTACGTACACATGTTTGTTACGCATCTCGCAAAACACGAGTCCACCACGGATCTCCGTTCGTCAAGCTAGTTGACGTACAAACACACGATGTCCAGTCTCAGTTATTGCAACATCCTGCGAGTCTCACCCTCGTCAGCAGGTAAATTCCGGAATAATAGCTCCGGAGGCAGACGTACCTTCTTCGTTTGTCTAACGCGTCTATCGCCTAGTGTCCATTTCCTGGTAAATTTGTTCGACAATTACGGTCATTACGCTGACTTAATTAAGATACATTCACGTCCTGGTGACGTCTTGCAATTAACGATCAATGCGCTCGCTGTCCCGCGCTCAACGTCCATTATCCCCGGCTATCATCATCTCGGCCAGACAGAACGTCTAAATGACGTTCGAAGATCGGGGAACACTGATCGACGCGTTATTGACGCACGTTTTTGCGCGAAAGAGTTTGAACGACGGACAGTCGATAACGATCGCCATCGCGGTACGGTTAATCGCCTAACGTTTGGCATTCGCGCGATGTTCCAGGGAGATTGATAGGGAACGCTGGTTGCTCAGATATACAAGGTGTCCAAAAACTTGGACTACGTGTTACTGAGGTCAAATAGAATGATGAACAAAGTTCATATAAACTTACGTCCATGAAAATGCTTTATTGATTCGTTGTACAGAATCGTATACGTATTGCAAATTCTCAATAGTATTACTGCAAAATTATCTTCACGATATGTTGCATGATGTCTTATTGGAAACACGCTGTCGAATGTGGTTTCAACGTGATCGTGGCCACCCGCCACATTTTGGACGAAATGTACGTGAATTTCTTAATAGACAATTCCCTCAACGTTGGGTCGGTCGCGGCGGACCAATCAGTTGGCCTCCTACTTTGGGAGTGTATTCAAAATTCATTTACTATTATTTCCAATACAAATGGAATATTTGAAAGAGTTCGATAATCGCTGGAAGCCTGCATTCTTACAGAAGGAGGAATTTTCGAACATTTCTTAGCCGTTTCGAACTTTCATAACCGTCACAATAAATCATAAATATTTTTAAAATACCTTTATAATTCTATCTTTATTTCTTAACTGTTTCAAACTTTTATAACTGTCACAATAAATCATAAATATTTTTAAAATATCTTTATATCTTTTCAATAAAGCATTTTCAGACATAAATTTGCATGAACTTTTCTCACTTATTTGACCTCACTAATACGTAGTCTATGTTTGGTCCTAATCTTTTTGGACACCTTGTACATCGTGTAACTAACGTTGTTCATATTTAGGTAAAATGGATCGTCTGTTTCGACATATCTCGCAGGTAATCCATCATTATTCTTGCAACTCTCCACGAGCATAAATTGAGGATATTTAAGATCTGAAAAGTGGGTGAAATTCGAGAATTGTTCTCGCGGAATAATTACGAAACGAATTCCAATTGTTTGAGGTGTATAAATTAAGAGACTTTCATGTATTTTACTTTGATTTCAAAAGTCAATATTGCAATTCCTAATTGTGTTATTTATTAAAAAGCAAAAATTATTCAACTTTTGTCTTGGCAATTTGACAAATATTTAAGTGGCTGATATTGCAAGACTGAGCAGCAACAAGTTAATTCTAATTTCTCCTTATTTTCTCCGAGGCTATTGTTTTGATCGGATGCCGGCGTCTGAAATATAAAGCTTCGAGTCGATTGGCCTAACAATGCGTGTTCGATGGCACACGTAAAACGTGTGTTATTCACCAGCTGCGGAAACAATACACGAAGAGCATCGGGTTTGTCACGCGCAGATGTGACCAGGGTAAGCCATCCGACTCGCATTCAACCACATTGCACAACTTGGCCAGGAGCGACGTTAATCCAATTGTTTCAGTCACGGAAATCGGGCAAATTCAACAACATTAAGGAATTCCCGTTAAGATTATCTCACGCGAAAATATTTTTCTCTCGAGGCCTCTAGAGAGATACTCATCTTTGCATTTAATCTATATTTTTGAACGTAACTCTACGCCGTCTAGCGCGATTCGACTTCAAATTTTCGAAATTTCAAATCAGTGACAATTCGTTAACGTGCTGGTAATTTAGCAAAGTTATTGAACAAATATCTGGAAGAAATTGAATTAAATAAATAATTTGGAATTTTCTGACATGATGCTTGGATGTAAAATGAAATAAATGTATGAAATTTTATTAGACTTCTAATTACAAGTTAATCATTAACGTCAATTTAAATAAACGGGAGAAAATATCAAACTAAATTACATAGTATTTTATATCTTATATCACACGAAACTCACGAAATAAGAAAGGTCTTAACATAGTAATGCGCATGAACCTAGATCTTGAAATCGAAAACAAATATGTATTTTTCATCTTAAAGTCGCCCATATTAAAAAGAACGAAATTGTCAGAAATTGCAACGTAAGCCAGTACATCCGCTACTCGTGACAACCTAATACGAAAACCTAACCTCCCCGCTTTGTCATACTCACGATAGATTCTGAAAAAGTAATTCACCGTACGGATGATCGGAGAACGATCGTTCCAGCATTCGTTGTATGAAAGGGGAGAGCAATAAAACGTGGCTGTGAGCAAGTAGACGAGCGATGTTACCGGTTGTACGTCGTTTTTCAGGATGGACATTCAATCGGCGCAGAAGAATGAGAGCTTCTATCAATGCTGCAGCGGATTCTGCATCGACCTGCTTCAAAAGTTCTCCGAGGAGATCGGCTTCACTTATGAGCTTGTTAGAGTCGAAGACGGGAAATGGGGCACGCTAGAGGTGGGTCATAATGAATTTAATCCGATGAACAATTATCCTTCTCTGATAAAAGACAATTATTATTCTCTGATGGAAATGGATCTCCTTGGTTTTTATAGAATGTAAAGTGAAAATATAGAAGTGTATCGTTTCAAATACACTTTGATGATGATAGAAAATTTGTTTAAATATTAGTTGAGTAATATTTATTTAATAGTTAGTAATTTGTTTAGAAGATTTGTTTAAATCTTTGTATAAATATATTTGTTTAAATTTGTTTAGAAGATTTGTTTAAATCTTTGTATAAATATTAAATTTATATAAATATTAATAAGTATAGAAATGTAGAATAATATAAAATGTAAAATATTGTGGGATATATGAAAAAGATACAAAAAATTTGTTTAAATCGCAAAGATATGAAGCATTGTGGAACTATGAGAATTCAATGAAAAATTATTAATCAAAGAAGATGAATTGAATGATAGTTAGAAATGATCGAAATATGTTTCAGTTGTATAAAATTACATAAAATATTAATAGTTGAACTGACGAATGTTATAATTATAAAATATTTATATAAATTATTGAAATATATATATATATATATTTTTTGTTGTGTGAAATTATGTAAAAATATTAATAATTAAATTAAATAATAGACTCTAGACATTATTTAATGAGTGAACTAAATCGAATTTCCTAGGATAGTTAAAAGATAATGTTTCTAGTTTAATAATAATTAAATTTATAATATTTTAATGTAATAAAATTTAGCAACACTTATTCTATTTACTACTCATATATTCTGTGATCTTTTCACGTAATATTTTCACATGTGCAAAATTATTTTCATATGTATCGCCAAAATGATCCATTTATACGTAAAAACTGGCAATAATTTACATTCAGTTAATTTCACTGTGTGCAACATGCAAAATATACAAAAGAACATAAAATATAGATTCGTTCAAGATCTTTGAAGGACGAAAGAAACGTTCGTGATAATCTATTTTAGACTTTCGTTCGATTGGGTTAATAAATTAATTTTGCAACGAGAGATACTTCAAGAGTCAAAGGTCCAGACGAGAGTTAATATACATAAAGCGATCAACTTCTATAAAATCAATTATGAAATCTTAATCCGAATGAACGACAGGAGATTAGTTTCAATGTACGCGAAAATGGCGAAAGTAACGTCTTGGAAGTCGAGCTACGTCGATATACAGCGAATCCCGTTTAATCCGAGCTTTTAAGTTTTAAATGGCAACAGTATCGATAAAACGACTACAGGGATTAATTCCACGCGGAATTGCGATCCTTTTCGTTAATCTAAAGTTTGCAGCAGGCACGGAACAATCGAGGTGCATCGAGGTTACAAAGTGCTCCACTTTCATTGCGCATATTTAACTGTGCACGCGTGCCCTTCCATGTGGTTAATTATACATCTCACGTGGCACAGCTTTGAAAATTAAACGTCTGTACATCTCAAAACTAAATGTGTTTACATATACGAGCCATTAACATTTTATTAAAAGGCTCTAGAGCTCATTGAAATGGATCTTCACTAGGCAGAAGACGTTTGTTATTAATAATCGAATGTTCAATCAAATGGTCCATTAAAAATCGAAATGGCCAAATAATGTAAATTAATACAATCTACATAAATTGAAAAATTTTTCAATTTTAGAATATTTTATTATCCCTGTACTGTGATGTGATTATGTCACAGTGCATCGTCTGTGATTTGTATATTTCGAGTTAGAATGTTAATATGTTAATCATGCTTGATCGCGATTTAATTGAATTTGATTGGAATTCATGATTACATGAAATGGAATATGGCTCTGTTTTATTTATAGAATGGAAAGTGGAACGGTTTGATAGCTGACCTGGTGAATCGGAAAACGGACATGGTGATGACGTCTTTGATGATTAATGCTGAAAGAGAAGCCGTGGTTGATTTCACGGTACCGTACATGGAAACCGGTATCGCCATTGTTGTGGCGAAAAGGACTGGTATAATATCTCCCACTGCCTTCCTTGGTAAGTGACCGTAAAGCCTTATTAAACGTTCAATGGTTCGCGAAAGGAATCTCTTCGCGTGTTACGTTATTTATTTGCCAAAAATAAAATTATACGACGTAAATATTATTAGTCGGATCGACAAAGATCTTTCTGTCAGACTTTCTTTCAATTAAAGTGTCCGCGAGTTTCCGGAAGTCGTTGGACCGTAAAATTTTGGAAATTCAGCAGCGACGATTAAGTAATTGCGCGAGAGTGAATTCGCCGATCGATTCTAGAAATTAACTACGCTGTTCTTGCAAAATGCTCTTCAAATATAGTGGTTTACGACCGTGTTATTACGTGGCGCAAGATGGTATTAATGGCATCAGCTAGCAGATTAAATTAGCAAATGGAACTTCAATTAGATTGTTTCATTGAATTGAATGGAATTGACAGGACGAAAAGTGTATTTTAATTTGTAACCGATCTTTTCCTATGACTTTCTACGAACATTTAGTATAACGACGATTAACACAAAGTAAACTAATATCATTCGTCTATGCATATTCTTTTTAACAAACGATAACTTGCATATTCGAGACACACTGATGTAGACATTGATATAAAATAGATACTGATCGATTTCGCTTTTTATCAGTTTCTTAATTTCATTATATTATACAAATAGCTACGTAGATTTGAAAATTAGGCAGAAATATTACCTAAAAATTTATATAATATAATATATAAATATTGCCTGTAAATTTCAAAATAGACATTAGGTGACTGTTACAATCTTTTGAAATTACGAAAATTCATCGTGATAAAAACTAATAAAGGAATTAAACTAAACGAACAATTTAAAAATTAAGTGATATCCTGATATACAGTTTTTAATATCCAATAACACCAGTTAGAAGTTGCAAAATAATATTTGTAGCATCATCACTAAACTTTCTGCAAAATCATATTTTTAGAAGCGTAAATAAAAGTGTAGAGTTCCGATAGAAAATTATTTCATGAAATAAACGTCACAGAAATAGCATTACAATTCGGGTGTTTTGTATATCTTTCCATACCATGTTCACTTCCGTGCAACTTCGCTCTTCAAAATGGATAAAGATCTGCAGTCTAATCGAATCTTTGATCATTATTTTACGTGATAAATGTCACTGAGCTGTGACAGCGCTACAATTTGGGCGTTTCATATCATGTCCATTTACTATAAATTCAAACTTTACTGCACTAAGATCCGCAGTTTGATCTTCGCTTCTCCCAGCTTTTCAATTTGCGGTGTCGATCAGTATGGCTTCTGAACCATTCGTACTACACACCAGATTAGTACGTTCCACGTAATGAAGGACAATTGCGTCATTATGGTTTGCAGAACCATTCGACACCGCCTCTTGGATGTTAGTTGGCATCGTCGCCATACACGCGGCCACGATCATGATACTGCTGTTCGAATGGTTGTCACCATCTGGTTTCAACATGAAGGTAAACCCTTCAGACGCTGCGCGGAAACTGGTACTATTAATTTCGCTTCTTATTAGCTATGTATGTTTTCTTGCCTTCGGAGCACGAAATCCCCATAGAGCAAATTACCACCCCGGGACAACACCATTAATCTTAACGACACTCCACCCATTTGACACTGCATCGAGGAAAAGGAGATTGATCGTGGGACAATACTTTCCGCGATAATGCGAAGTCTGCTTACGCAGTTTCGTTCAAAGAAAAAAAAAAAAAAATACATCCTCGTCTCGTTCTTTTTCCAGTCAATAAAGCCTACAATTTACAGCGACGATATCACTCGACGTGATTGTAAATTTTCTGAGCGCAAAGAGTACAACATTTTTCACTCGGCGTAGAGATAAGGAAGATTTACTTTTCCTTCGCGAATTGTTTTTAATTCTAGTTTTCGTATCTTTCTAAATTTTCTTCCAGAGATTTAAAGTGTGTTTTTGCACGCGTCGGCTGTAAATTACTATCGATCCCCCGTTTTAAAATATTAACACAATTTTTCAATTTTCAAAGTTGCATTTGGCTGTAGAATTTTTCCTAATATAATATTGTACAATACTCTACACTCTAATATAATATTATACGATACTGTACACTTTAATATAATATTATACAGTACTGTACACTCTAATATAATATTATACAATACTGTACACTTTAATATAATATTATACAATACTGTATACTCTAATATAATATTATACAATACTGTACACTCTAATATAATATTATACAATACTGTACACTCTAATATAACATTATACAATACTGTACACTCTAATATAATATTATACAGTACTGTACACTCTAATATAATATTATACAATACTGTACACTTTAATACAATATTATACGATACTATACACTCTAATATAATATTATACAATACTGTACACTCTAATATAATATTATACAATATTGTGCACTGTAATATAATATTGTACAATATTGTACACTGTAATATAATATTGTATAATATTGTACACTGTAATATAATATTATACAATATTGTATTGTACATAACTGTATAATTGTATTGTATTGTATAATTATTCAGTAATTCTCCAGCCAAGGAAATTGAAATTTTTCCTCCTTTCCGAGGTGTCAAAGTTTCTTGATTCAAGTTATCCTCGGTTAAAATAAAATTTCCAATCTCTGAAAATTAATTCATTATTGTGCTTCCACCCTTTCGAAGATTAATTCACGCGAAAAGTAAAGCGAGGAATTTCAATTTCGGCGAAAATGAATCTCTGACGATGTTAAGTATATCTCATAGATATTACCCAACCAAATTACATGAACACGTACATAAAACTTTCTGCAACAAAGTATATAAAGACCTATTGATCAATAAAACTTTGAATGCTACCTCTAAGATTCACCAAATCGACAATTTCCCGCAATAAAATAGCATCTTCCTGTCACAAAATATAATCACACTGCATTGTAACACAGTATTTCCCTATCACTCGCTTTTATTTAACCTTGTTACCAACCTCTTGCACGGCTCTCTCTTTGGATAATCTGAATCCATTGTGTAGTAGACTGGAATATTTTCTTATTATTGCAACGTTGTCGCTGTTGTCACATCGTACGTCGTGGCTCGAAGTGGATCCGAACGCGGCTGATTTTTGCTTGGTTGCAGAAGAATCCATCGCCCAATCATCGGTTCTCCTTCTGTCGGACGTACTGGCTGGTCTGGGCCGTATTATTTCAGGCAGCCGTCCATATCGACTCTCCCAGAGGATTCACAGCCAGGTGGGTAAAACAATTTTCTATCGACAATTAAAATCCTCGCCGTGAATCATATCTCGTCGAAAGAGATTGGAAATACGATGAAACGAGAGGATTCGGGAAATCTAGTTAGCGTGCTTCCTCTGCGTCGAAACAGGGATGAAAGTATGGATCAAAAGGCTTACACGAGCGCTCAACGAACACGTTTGTTGCCAGCGAATCTACATTCGCCTGCTTTGCGAGAGAATTTCATTTCATTTCTTTTTCTCCTCGTCTTTGTGTCTCTTTGTATTTGGAGAACGAATCGCAATCGATTATGAGTCGAGAGTTTTAAATGCGCGACGCGTGGGTGATCAGTGTGTTGTCCCTGATCTCTTTACTTTAATTGGGAGAATAACCTGCGAGTTAAAGATTATCAAAATTTATTATCATCATTTGAAACGTAATACTTTGGTTAATTTAAAAATTGAATGGCACTGTGATTTAACTATTTTATTATATATATTAATTTTTGAAGTATATTATTCATCATATATATTATTTATTAACGTACATTATTCATCAACAATAAATTTTGTTCAGAACTATCTAAATCTGTTCGAAATTCAACTATTCAAGGAACTGATTGAAGTTTATAGAGATGGAATTAAAAAAGAAAAGAGATGCTCGATATTTTATATCAGTAGGGATCGGGGAATGTAATATAATATTATTGTGAATATTCTTTGCGGATGTAAAGCAAAACTTCAGTATAGTATATCGATAAGATTAATTTCAATAACCACGATGATTAAATATTTGTTCTTAAACTCACAGGAAATCTTAGATTCCTTTTTTTACAATCATTTTGTACGAAGGAATTGAGTGAAATAAAATTTGAATAGAATTACAATACAATTCGTTAGGCGACACAAGAGAATACTTAAAAAAAAATCGGCTACGTATATTAAATTTCTCCGTCTATTAAATTTCACATGAAAATTTCTATTTTCCTTAGTGATAAATGCGAAGTATAATTCACGTGCAGAAAGAACAGCCAGAAATGATTTAAATCAGGAAGATATCTTAGATCGTAGTTATCTAAGATTATAACGTGAGTTCGGGCGAAATATATATTCCCTTAACGGGCGAATATTTCCGTGCCAAGAAGCTGCATTCAACCGCAGTGGTTATCCAATGATAAATGAACATTTTGTTTCTTACATTGACCGCAACCCGTCGAATTCAAATGCGTCTCTTTCACTTAAGTTTCAAGAATAATTCCGTGAATTATTCGTAAATTTTTCCATTATAATTTCGTAAATTTAACGTAAATATATATAATTCAAATTTATTGATTCCAAACAATTCTAATAATTCTGGAAGATACGTTACTGCTGTACAATAACGTTGAAAATTTTATACGATAGTCGGTAAAGGGAGAATACAAAGTTCTCGAGTGCTATAAATATGATAAAACCTAGGGCTTCTAAGGCTTGTAAAGCGTGCTGACATAAAATATGAAGCAAAATGTGTGCTACGTAAACTGGATGCAAAAGTCGTTTCATGAACCAAATATGGCACGCTGAACTCGTAAAAATTAATCAATAGAACTTGGAAACGGAATTGAAGGGTTTAGAGTATCGCAACTGAAACTTTAAAACTCTCGATCCTCCGCAAATTTATTAGTCCTTTATTCCCATCAGTGCAATAAATCTAATCTAAGATTATATTTGATGTATGTTTTTGTCAGATTTCTCAATATTTTGTTCCTAGTGTCGCAGAAAATTTTTAATCTTCATCTTGTGGAGATGATACACGCTATGTAACAATAACAGTCAGTACATTATTTCATTTATTTTGAGTAATTAAGATTAATTAAAATTAACACAAAGAGATCTAAAAATGAGTCAACATTGTTCCTTTAAGAGAAGGATCATCGTGTTGTTGTGAAATTTTTATTTCAACCTAAAAAAAGAAAATGTGAGAAAAATTTTGTCTGTATTGAGAAAAGCTATTTTCACCGATTGGTATATCGTTTGTTAAATATTAATATATTAACGATTAACGAAAGCTGAGCTAAGCTTTTTCAGCGAGATTCAATGCAGGCACAATCCCACGTTGTTGATTGATTAATTTTGCACAGCTTACTAAACATCCGGTACGAACGTGCTTATTTAAACACGCGTCACGAATCAAATTGACGTATCCGAAGCTCGAGATTATATGCATTGGTATTGAAATTTCATAACCTACGTACACGCTCGATGAACGTGTATGTAAAAGAGATAAATAAATTGCTGTGAGAGATTTCTATGATAAATAAAAATTGTGAATTAATAATCTTCTTTCTACATCTCTCATCAGTCTTTCGAAAGGTCTCTGTTCTTTTGATTTCGAATTTAATGCAAATGACTGAATAAGTAAATAATTTACACTTTTTCGAAAATCTTACTGAATTTTGATATACGTGAGTTCTTCTTCTTAATTGAAACATTCATTTCAAGAATGTAAAATCTTTCAAGCATCGACAGATTAAATTTCTCATCCGAATCTCAATTCTCGAAGGTTTCTCAATCACGTCTTGAGTTTCTCAACAAGAAATGCTCCTAATTTTGCCCCAAGAGAGGAGAAGAAGCCATTCAATATCAAATTGCTGACATACTTCAATGAAGAAAAAGCGCGACTTACTGTTTTTAAATTTAATTAGCCGAATTGAGAACCCACTATCAACCATAACTTTTCGAAATTGACCGAAATTAACAGTCGACTGTTATTTTGGTTCGAACGCTCCTGTAACCCAGATTCATGACGAACGTGTGGGCGTTGTTCGCCGTGGTGTTCCTTGCCATTTACACTGCCAACCTGGCCGCCTTCATGATCACGAGAGAGGAGTTTCACGAGTTCACCGGCGTTGACGATCACCGTTTAGCCAAGCCATGGTCCCATAAGCCAATGTTCAAGTTCGGAACCATACCTTGGAGCCACACCGATAGCACTTTGGCTAAATACTTCAAGGAGATGCACACTTATATGAAGAAGTTCAACAAGAGCAGCGTGGCTGACGGAATCGAGGCAGTCATCAGCGGGTAAGTAGAACTAGACGACATTCTGAAATATACGCAACAACAGCAGCGAAGACTGTAATGAAATTTTAATTATTTCAAATAATTTTCTTAATCTCAGTAATTTGATGACTATTCTTGTTGTTAGTAATTCAGTCGAAGTTATTTAGTTCTCGTGTATTTATAGAAAATTTGGAGATCGTTTGTATAAAGGTTTATACAAATTATAATATATTATTATAATGTTATGATATAAATATTAATATTATAATATAAATTAATATATACTATAATTATAATATAATATAAATAATTGTAATATAAATATAAATATTATAATATTTTGTATAATTTAAATTACATTATGATGTAATATATTTATAATATAATATATAATATATATAATGTTATATATTTATAATATAATATATTATTACATCGATTAACAAAGGTTTCTATAAAGCTTTTGAGAATTTTATACAAGAAGTAATATGTATTGATATTACAAGCAACATGTTAAAATTATGAAAAATATAAAGTGCAAATATAACATATCAAAATATACGAATACGGTAATATTTGATAGATGAAATGGTTCTTTACTATGTTTATGAAAAGTCTAGTCATTAGAGTCTTTAAAATTTCTTTAGTGTCCTTCAATGTCTCTCTTTCTACCTTTATACATTTTCCAACTTCACTTTAGAAACAGCTTAGTACTTTAAACACGACTTGTACAGCGACACTCGTTGTCAAAGTTTCAAGTTGGAAGAAAGAGAAAGGAAGTTTCGTAACTTTGGCGAATTTCGAACATCTCTTGTACATCTAAGGCATTGCTCCATTTTCACCAGGAAAACATATTAACCAAGAAAAAAACTAGTTTCACCATGATGTTTTGAACTTTGAATATTAGTTAGGACTTTATTCTTTTTTTTTCATTTAATCCTCATGTTCAAAGTTCCATAAAATGCTCAAACAAAATCCTGTAGCAAGTTTTAAGAGCTCGTTCTAGAGGAGACTTCATTCTTCAAAATAATGATAGATGTGGTGGCGAAAAAAGTTGTTCAATAATCTTAGAGATGTTTGAATTTCTACATTTTTTGACAAAAAAAAAGAAAGTATCTTTGAAGTAAGATGAAGTTGATTGTCATATGATTCCCTTCTACAAAGTTATCACAGTTTAAATTCTCGGAAGTTTTTCATCGTTATTGGTTCAGTTCTCCTCACACTCTGCATAAAAGTTTCTGCATCCCATTGTGTTCTAAAGTTCTTCTATTTTTATTACTTTATCGTGGAAAGTTCACGCTTTAATCCTCAGAAAATTCTCGTGTTAAAAAGTCCGCGAAAATGTTGGTCAATAAATTTGTTCATCTCAATCATCCGTACAACGTAGTCCAATTAAGCAATATAGTGTTATGTTTAATCAAAACTTCCAAAAAAAAAAAAGAAGAACCAAAAATACCTCATATCGTGTCGCTTCGTTGGCGATGGTGTTATAATTTTGTCAAACTCATCGTTTGACCCCAGTAAATGTGCACGCATCGCTGTACGTGGCTCGTTATCAAAGTTTTCTCGCAGAGTTGCTCGTTTAATCTCCCGGACCCAGTTCCCGCGACTTTCGCAGCGATCGCTGCTTTCGCGAGGGGGGAAGTGCACGGGAAGTCGCGAGATGTAAATTATCACGCAAATAGAAGGAAATAAGGGAGAGAAAGAGAGAGGGAGGGATTTTTCTAACGAGATTTTCTCTAGAAATAAGCTCTCGACTAAATTCACGATTTTCAAATGAAATTCTCAATCAAATATGAAACGTGAAAATGGAAAGCGGATGCTTTCGAATTTCGTGGTAATCTTCGAGGCTCTTCGTTAATGCCATTTGAATTTGCACAACAATTCTGCTTGCTCCCTTATTACACGCTGGACTGATATAAAGTTTCTCAAACAGCTTAACACGCAGAAATTACAATTTTCTTATTGCACCATCTGGCCGATCCGAGACGATCAAACTTTCGTACAAGCTTGAACGTGTGAAAGTGTATCTCAATTAAAATTCGTTCGACGTCGAATATTAACGTTCCAATTGATAAGACGATTCGAGGAAATTCCTTCGCAGAGGGATTTCCTTCGTTCTTTGGGGAAAAACCTTGACGGAGCGCGATTCAGATGAGGTTGAAAGATCGTTTCCTCGTGGAAAAAGGGGAGAATGTTTAAAGGCTCGGGTCGGACGATCGATTCATTCGTTCGATTCGACGATTCTTTTTAAGGCTCTGCCGACTCGTCTCTCTTGCCATTCCTCTTAGAAACGTCGTTTTCCTCTTTCAACAGAGAAATGGACGCGTTCATTTACGACGGGACGGTGTTGGACTATCTGGTGGCGCAGGACGAGGACTGCCGTTTGCTAACCGTGGGATCCTGGTACGCCATGACTGGATACGGCCTCGCGTTCTCCAGGAATTCCAAGTATCTGCAGATGTTCAACAAGCGTCTGCTGGACTACAGAGACAACGGTATCGGCATCTGATCACTGGTATCATTTGAAATTAAGCTCGAGGACAGGATATTCTGTACTTTGTGATAAGAGACCTTATCTCAATGAGAAACTACTCCATTTCGTTCCTTGTTTTGTATATTTTCCACTTGCATTTACTTCGGAATTCAAGTTTTCGAATTCTTGTAGTGTCGTTCACATTTCAGAAGAACTGAATTGTTGAAAGTTTGTTTCAATTTTCACATTTTAAATTTTCATCGAATCTTGATTACCTATCAATTTTGAAGGTTTCAAAGGCTATGGAGTAACTTTGGTAATTGAACAATATTAAAATAATGTTCGATCTGAGTTTTTAATATTAAATTTAATTTGAATTTGATTTGACATTGCTGAATTTGAAATTTGTCTAAATTTCTATTTCAAGGTTGACGATCGTTCATAATTTGTACTGTACTTCTCTAACACGTTAAGATAGAAATTTGATTATCTTCTGAACTTCTATCCACAGATCTAGTTTCTTCCGCTACTAATTTTATCTCGAACGATTCTTTTAATACCTTGAATCACTAATTTTGTCTTGAATTCTTCTAAAATTATATTAAAAGCTTAAGGAACTTGAATTAAGATACCCATCTACTGTCATACCATGTAGATTTTTCTTTTTTTTTTTTTTTTTTAAAGAGGAATATTGAAATTCCAGGAGACTTGGAACGCCTGAGAAGGTACTGGATGACAGGTACCTGCAAGCCAGGAAGAGAGGTACAAAAGAGTAGCGATCCTTTGGCGCTCGAGCAGTTCCTTTCCGCGTTTCTCTTATTGATGATGGGAATTCTTCTGGCTGTGGCCTTCTTACTACTCGAGCATTTGTATTTCAAGTATGTCAGGCAGCATCTGGCACGAAGCGACGGTGGTGGCTGCTGCGCACTTTTCAGCTTGGTAAACAGCCTTTCTCTCTCTCTCGATGAAATTTCTCATATCATTTTCCAAATTTATCGGTTGCGGTTCTTTATGTGAATTTTTCACTCATTCGTGGAAAGTGTGCAAGAATAGAAATATATAAAAATATTCAAAATATAGTAGACTCTTTATGATGTATTTAATAAATAAGATTTTTGTAATTATCCTTGTAAAAATTGTACAAACGTTTACAGTTTATGTTGATATTTCTGGTAGTTTCATTTTCAATATTATTTCTCTGCGAAGAAGAGTTCAATTTGTGCTGCTACATCGATTTTGCAACACAATGTTTTTTCTTATCGAGCAACTGTGACACGTGAAATGTACAATATTGTAATATCAGTTTTCTTAAATCTACTTTCCTCCAATAAATATGTTTATCCGTACAGATATGATATTTTATGTCAATTTAAGACCAAGAATTTTCTCTCTCTTTGATATTTTAATTTCAACTAGATCAAAATTTGTCTTTTTAGTGTTAAAGAATTTTACTACTTTAACATTGATGTATAAATATAAATTCAAACTTTTTATGTATCTTGACATTTTTCAAATACAAACGTAAGATTCAGTGGTATAAATCGCCGCAAATCAGACATTTCGCGTGTTACAATTAAAAGCTTACTCGCGCCTTAAAAGGCTCCTGTTCGACGTTTAAATATAAATTCGATCTGAAAAATTTTTTTTCTATTTAAAGAGCATGGGGAAATCGCTGACATTCCGTGGAGCAGTCTACGAGGCACAGGATATCCTAAGGTACCATAGATGCAGGGATCCTATATGTGACACGCATTTATGGAAAGTGAAACACGAGTTAGATATGGCGAGGATCAGGATACGACAGCTGGAGAAGGATCTGGAGGCACACGGAATAAAACCCACTCAGGCCAAGTACGCTATGATCATGACTCATACGAATTAACGTTATATTTCACGATTAAAAAGTATTTCATAGTATGTCTGCATTGCAGTTGAAACTCTTGACCTTAGTTCATTCAAGAGGATCTCAAAGAATACATTTAAATTCGTTAAAGTTTCTTAAAAAAGTTCTAACTTCCCTATTTTTTAAATAAGTATTTTATTTATTTATTTATGTTGTAAATAATAAATTCCTGTAATAATTAACCGCGAACGTTTCTGCACTTGTGAGGAGATTGAAGATGGAAAGGTGATGTCGAGATGGAAGTAGTAGGTTGTAAAATATCGTACGACATGTCTGACTTTTGATTCGTTCGTACTACTGAATCTCGAAAAGAATGCATTTAAATTTAAAAATGTTAAAATACGTAAAACACGTAAAACAAGAGAGAAGCTTATCTATAATAAGCTTTGTAATTGATACAAAATAACACATTTATTTATTTTTTTAATATTCGTTGGGTGAGATTTGTTCATCTCACAGCGCCACTTCTGCTTACCAAAATTGGCCCTCTTTTTTCGATTTAAAATCTCGTGGCTTGCAAGCTCACCCCATATTAATGTATTATTATATATAAAACAACTTAATTTACTGAAAATTTATTAATTAGCTTCAATTGAACGCTGCAGTGGACGCTGCTTTACTTTGAACAATTTTATACGATTTACAGTATTTGCATTCGTTCGTTATTAATATTTGTTCATCGCGTAAACACCATATAGCCAATATCCATGGTTACGTGCGGAAAAATATTAAATTACGTAAACATCTCGGTACGTGAAGGTTAATGCACGAAAGAGATAATTACGTGGACGATTGGTCACGTTGAAAATTCGTTGGCGATATTCTTTGAGATCCGCTTGGTTGTCTGAAGGAAGAAGTCCGAAACAAAGGGCGAAAAGAGAAAACGTTCCATTCGTGACAAAAGAGATACACGTGAACGGACTATATTTCTAGACCACTCGATATATATTCGCTTCCTTTTTGAAGTACCATCCGCTTTCGAAGCGAAGCATCTCGGGCTGCAGCTTCCTTCTTCTCTATTTTTTTTCTCTCTCTCTCTTTGTCCATCAAGTTTCGACGGACCTTTGTTCTAGAAAGCTTTCCTTTAAAGGTCGACGCCTCTTCTGCCCGTTTGCGAACACGATTACGTGAAAGCGGAAGTGGACCCGCAACGACAGATCTACGCATGTTACTGCATAGTTATTTTACCTTGTCCTCCGTAAGATTTACAAGGATTCGATCTTGATTCGCGTCGCTATTAAATTTCTATAGGAGGACGCACGACACGGGGAAACAAAGGAAAAATTGAAATCTAACGTAAGAAAAATTCTGCAGAAACCAAAAAAAAGAGAAAAGAAAGAAAGAAAGAAAGAAAATCTTTCTGAACATTCCTTTAAAATTCCTCGAACGAGGTATTCCAGTAATCGGATAATTAGCCGTTCGATTGATCGATAAAACGTTCCGACAGTACGTTCTTCGGTACGACAGTAGCTGCGAATCGAGATTAGGTCCTGAATTACTTTCTGACGTCACTTGGAGCCTGGCTCGCACAGCATGCACTTATCTACGAACGTACACGTGTATACATTTATTCGTATATACAGTCGTAACATGTACATATATGTATATATATAACATTTACGTATATATATATACATTCAGACGCATATACACACGAGTTACGTTAACTAAGTCGTGATATCGGCACGAGCGTATCCTCCATTTCTATTTATTCTTCATCTCAGTGCGTCGTTCTCTGAATATACTGACGATCGTGAGTTTCAGACCTCCTCCCTTGATAATTCGGTAACGGGCTGCTTCACGCGAGATCGATGGTTCCCTTGGGAAACGCGAATTAAAGATCCGTGGGCGTCTTTGGTGCCGGTTATTATCGACTCGTACTACTAGAATTCGAAGAAGTGCTAGACGTAGAGGTTAACGATATTCTTTTCTCCGATTGAAGCAACTAGAGTTCACTGAGTATGATACCTAGCGTGTTACAGTTTACATTTTATTTCTTAAAGTATTTGTGATCACTTGCATGGGTATTTTGTAGATACACTTAGCTACTTGAATTTGGTGAAATTGCATATAAGATAGATATGTACGTAGAGTAATCAAGAAAAGGAAATATTTCACACTCGAGGTATTACGATCGATATGAAATATTTTGATAATGTTCTCTGAATAAACAAATTTGAAAATACCACCATATGAACATTATTTATAGATCGATACTAACGTGCCAATGTCATTATATCGTTAAATGCAGTTTTATATTCTAAAGTCTGTTTTCAGGAAATGAACTCGCTATTCAAAACTATTTTTAAATACAATGACAGACTCGTATTCACGATTGCAACACTGTTATATCAATCAATTTTACGTTCTGAATTCTATTTCAATTTACATCCAAGCATCTTTACAAAACTAGCGCGTCGATGTCGTCGAAAGTGGATTCTATTCTAGCCATTGTGCCCAAGTATTTTGAAATGAAATAACAGACTCGGGTGCTGGCGATCGCGAGACAGGATTTCCACAGTAACACCAATGGTCTCAAACTTACGATCGGACGTATGGTTTCACCGTATCACGTATGGGGTGTATTTCACGGTAAAAATTGGCTTCGATTTTAGGTCCGATATTAAACCAGCGGACAGGGTGGGCTAGTTGATAGAGGAAATAGGGCAGGGTGAAATGAGGGGGCGAGAACGTCCGTTGCTCGTAAGAAAGCAAAACTTCTCAACGACACGAGATCTCAGAATGAACTTTCGTTGCCGGCGGCTAGGAAAATGTAAGCTTCCGCTGGAAACTTTTCCACCCGGATAAGCTTGCAGGTGTTTGCAGGAGGATCCAGTCTCACATTGTCTCGGCCAATCATGCGTTTAATCGAACTTCCGTCGAAAATCGGCCCCGGGATTTCGCGATATTCGCACGCCACCGTATAAATGGCGAGTTTCCCAACTCTCCGTTCCCATATCCTTTCGGAAATACAGTTCCTTAATTGTGTCTCGACAGGATTTACTTCGATTCGAGGACGGTAAGAAGCAGTCGACTGAGAGAAGTTTTCAAGTTTTACAGCTGGCAGTGATGATTCTCGATCGTAGTTGGAATTACACGCGAATAAATTTCGAATTAATGCGCCATGAAACTTCGTAAATTGGAATGTTTCGTTGGGACATTTAAAACTCAATTCGTAGATTTTGTATGGCGAGCAAATTGTTGCATGAAGTGTTTCAAATTGTATTGGGAAACAAAATTTTCAACCGTAGTACTGCCAGAGCTTACGTAAAAACGGGTATTTAAAATTCAATTGAATCGTTCATCCGTATTAATTTACTCTCGCGTAGTAATTTTTACGAAAATGAAGAATTTTGAAATTCGTAGTTTTCAGTGCGGAGAATTTCCAAACAAATTGCTGGAATTTCATATCTGAAGTTCAATTTAAACCCGCGTTTTCGCAAATTGAAATATCCAAAATTCACGATCTCTCTTCAATTGTTTGCAGACAATTTATATCAAATTGCCGTAGATAAATATTTATTTTGAAAATTATTTCTATAGTAACAAGTTAATAATTAATTTCGTTCATGTGGAGACTCAAATTTCTCACTTATATTAGATCCTTCAGAGAAAATTGCAAGATGATTGTGAACATCTATAGTGTATCACACGATCGTAACTTTGAGTAGCTTATTTTAAATTTCTTTCTTGAAAAGCCGTCAGTTCTCAAGATTTCAATTTATATTCGAGTTAAACTTGAATCGTCAAACTTCAATTTCAGTCTCAATCAATTTCTCCTGCAGAAATTTAAATTAAAATTTTAGATGCAAGATGATTAAAATTAAAAATTGCAAGATGATTGTGAACATCTATGATATATCACACGATCATATTTTGAGTAGTTTATTTTAAATTTCTTTCTTAAAAATTTCTCAAGATTTCAATTTATATTCGAGTTAAACTTGAATCGTCGAACTTCAATTTCAGTCTCAATCTTACAGAAATTTAAATTTAAATTTTCAATATCCACGTGACGTCGAATTTTTCATAACCGATCGAGACGATCGATTTCCACAAACTAAATTCCAGTTTTCATGTAAACAAACGCTTCTTCACAAAAGAACCTTCCAAAGAGATAAATTCACAGAAGGATTCCCTATTCGATGAAATCAAACAGACGTAAAGGAACTGTCGGTTAAACCGAAGCAACGAAGAATTCCGTACATCCTGTTAAAGCTCCTTTTCTCCGATATCTTCCGGATTTTCCAAATACTCTTCCGAGAGTTCCCGATATCTATCGCGTGTCTTCCTTCCTTTCTTTCTTTTTTTTTCAAATCTGAAAATAGCAAAGTATCTCGAAAACGAAACAAAGAAAAAAAGAAAGAACGGGTTCTTACGACGAGGAAAGGGAAAAAGTGATGATGAAAGATCTCGCGTCGCTTGAGACGTGTTGCTGGTATACGTTAAGAAGGGTTTGGTAACGGTGGACGATGGTGGAAGAGAAGCCTGGCACATATCCACGTCGGCCTTTTTTAAAGGAGGAAAACCGGAAGTCTCGGCTGGTGGCGAGGATGCTTTCAAAGCTCGGACCGCCATTCACAAGCGGAGTCATTGGCGGTGGAAGCTCCGCATCCGCTACCGCCATACTTCGATTCGTAAGTCCGCAAAACGCTCACAACACAAAATGCTCTTCGGCGACGTAGGAACCTTTCCAGAAAATATTTCTCTCGCCCCTGGAGATGGGTCGTCGAAATAGCGTCGCCACTCGAACGATGATTTTCCAGCGTGTTCAGCGTTTTTCCACCTCGCTGATGGACGCTCGGTTTCTTTACTTCTCTGTGGAACGAACCTGATCCTTCCAGTTTATTATTCCCTTTTTCCCCATCGTTGAATAGATAATTGTGGAAATTTCTGTTATTTCAAATTTCTGTTAAATAAAATCTTTTTCTTCTTTTTTTTTTTTGTTTCAGTTGTTATTCCTTTCTTATTTAATTTCTTTTCGATGAAAGGAATAATTTGAGGGAAAATTTCACTTGATATTGTTGAATAGATAAACGATACACTCGCGATTGAAAATTTCGAACGTGTCAAGATTTTAAAAGAAAGATTACTTGTGTTATTGCAGTATTTTCGAGTATTGAAAGTACGAAAAAAAAAAGGATAATGGGATTAATGAAATTAATCTCTAATTGTTGAAATTTTTGTTTTGCATGACTTGTTTCAGGAAGTAATTACTATGACATATATTGATGGACGAAAAAAAGTATAAATTGGTATTATATTTATTCGTTGAACTAATACTTATCTCGTTAACTAATATTCTTCTCAGTCAGCCTCAGTATTTCAAGAATTTCATGATAGTTCAAGATATATATATATATATATTTATATTTATATTATTATATATATATATATATTTATTATCCTCCCTTATTTAGCAATTTTATCAGATGTACCGATAAAAAAATTGAATTATAACAACTCGCACTCCAATGTTTCACATTTCATTCCACAAGTTCGTTATTTATCCCACGCGACTTACGTTGGTTCAATAAAATTATTATTCACATCGAATTATTATTCTCTGCTGATTTTGTCAAATCTTTTTCTTTAGAAATTTATCCTGAAATGGTCGAGCCTGATCCAAAAATTCCCGCTTCTTAGAAATTTTCATTCCTAATCCACGTGCTCCAGCTTTCTCGAGATTGCACTGCGAAGGAACAGCAATCGTGTTAGCTGATCTCAGCAACGACGAGCGGCTCCCTCGACTTCCGCCGGGAGCCGCGTGATCCGCGAGATGTATTTACTGGGTCACGGATAGCCCGGGACTTGGCAGCAAAGCAAGAGGTAGTCGAATCAGCTGCCAAATATCCGGAAAAATTCACGCTTGTTTGTCCGCCAGCTGGTGTGTCGTTCCGAGGCGTTCGCCATTTAAAAGTAAACCGAGCGTCGCACAACCAGCAGAGGAAAAGAGAAACCCGTAACATATGGTACAAGCGTGACATCTGGCGCGTCTGCTTAACAGGAAACGATATTGTCCTTCGTTTCGCCGGGGCATTTTGAAATTCTAAATTCTGAAATTCAAAATTCGTTCTGTTCAGGCAGCGACGTTCTTCGCGTGACAAATAGAGAAAGATGAAAAATCACGGTAGCTCGTAATTTAAAACAATGGATCATCTCGATTGCAGAAACAAACGTGCGAAACGAACTTGTTAAAATGAATGATCACTGATCGAAAGAATCCAATTGTTTTTTTTTCCTTTTCAGGAATGTAAACTTCTCTTGGATTTCAATTATTTTGGAAGAATATTCTCCAAGACTTTGTTCCCTGTTTTGTAATTTTCAAAAATTTTACGTTTATCAATCGAGTATCAAGTTTAAATGTCTACGAATAATTGAACTGTTAATTGATGACGGTCAGCGATTAATCATCAATGAGGGACAACTCTGTTTTGTAACATCTCATAACTTGAAAGAAAGAAAAAATTGAAATTATATTAACGAATGTCGAAAAACTGCAAATTTTCATTTAGCAATTGTTTATTAAAAAGATTCGCGAACTTTATCTACTTTTTGGATCGTTCGGAGTGATTGAATAAAAACCGAGATCGTTATAAATGACACAAACGTACAATTTTGTTCGCATATTTTTCACAAAGTCTTTTTAACTAAAACCTTTATCTAAACTATAGCTAAATCAAATGTTCTAATCTCGCTATATCGTTTCCACTTGCTGCAACAAACAGATAACAGTTTCAACGACAGAACGATAGCTGTCTGAACAATCTCTCGCGTTAATTCGCGTGTTTCGTCACGATGCTGACGTTTCATTTCGCTGCGACCTTCACAGAAAAAGAAAAAGAAAAAAAAAAGAAAATAGGTTCCTACGTCGCTCAGGCAGAAACTGTCTTCAGGGTGCACGTGAGAATCGATGAATCGATAGTTGTTGACGTTGGTAGTTGATCGTCCCTCGAAGCAGAAACGAAAGTGACTCGTCGATAAATCCGTGCACCGTCGACAGAGGGGAGCAGAATCGATCTCGCGAGGCTTGTCTCGCCTCGATTCCACTGACGTAGTTTCCGCTGACAAGCCGCATTATCCTTGCGTCTAGAAACCATCTCTGGTTGCGTTTCAAACAAGCAAACCGCTCGATTGCGATTTAAGAAAACAACGCGATTTCATAGAGATCAAACGCTTTGGATCTTTTGTTAATACACACGGGGAAGCTTTCTACCTTCATTTTTCGTTTCAATTCAAATCATTCGGAATTTTTCAACTCGGCTTTGCTCGAGAGTCGAGCAACATTTAGTTTGGGCCTTGAAATTTTGTGCATTGTGTAACGCAAGCATGAATTTAAATCACATGCCTTCGAAATTTGTTTCGCTTTCTTTTCAAATGTGCAGAAATTATTGTGCTGAAAGATGTAGTGAAACTCGAGGGTACTAGTCATTTTTCATAAGTCTTGCGCGATTAATTCTAAGTAATCTAATAATCGGTGAATTAATTAACAGATTTCTTTGAAATTAAATTAAAGGTTGAAGTTAACACTTGCTTGAAACGAAGCGAAACTTATTGTTTCGTAACTTCAAAAAGAATCCACCTACCAAAATAATTTAAACGCGTGAAACTGTGTCCCTGAAACCAACATGATCTACACTGATTACTAACTTGATTTGAATTTGAGCTAGGACATTTGAATCTCAATTTGAACTCGAACGTATGAATATTATTACTCTAAACTGGAATTCAATTTCGTAGAAACAATTCACTCGTTACTTTGAAGCAAGAAACTCACGAAATCGAGTCAACTCTAATCTAATCTAAACGCGGATAAATTCTTTTTTCTCAAGCATCGGCGGAGCCTACGTCACAGAAAGAGGAAGTATTATAACGGAACGAAGTCTCGCGAGGATCGATAGCAAACGATGTAAAAGTTCGAATAAGAGTAGAATGTAGATTATCCGCTTCGCTTGGTAGTTTAGAAACGTCTGCATATACGCACTCGAATCATTCTTCTTTACTTATACTGCCTCGTCTTCTTCGTCTTTTCTTTTTTTATTTTTCTCTCTCTCTCTCTCTCTCTTCCTATCTCTCTGTATATCTGTCCATTCACTTTTTGAGACACGTGTTATCGTATCGTATCGATTTTCCTACTATTCATGTGCTCGGAAGCATGGCATGCGAGTTCAACGATGAGTTTTTTTCGATAGATACTCATGTATCGAGAGTCCATAGTGGAACGATAAATCGTTCGCGATAGCGATAAGTGGACAGTGGCAGGGGAGCCATCTATTCTTCCGGTTGAGGGAAAATTGCTGTGGATTAGGGAAAACTCTGGGAAAAGAACGTAGTAAGACTGCGATCGAGCCATTTGTACGGAATGAGTCGTCTAATATGATGGAATCTGATCTGTTTCCCGTTGTTTCGTTATAACGCGGGAGTCTCGCGAGAACGGATAAAAAAAAAAACCTCTGATGAATTTCGTACTGGTAACTTTTCCTATTTCCTTGAATCACGATATGCAATCACGCGTTTGTTTTTTTGTCTAATTTAAAGTTTCAACGGAATTCGAAAATAGATCGAAGTGTATAACTTACTCCGGAGAAATGGCACAAAAATATTATACATAGAATGGCGACATATTTATAAAATGTATAAAATTTATAAACATATAAAATTTTTTATATTTGCAACATATTTATAAAATTTATAAAATTTTTTATATTTGTAAAATTTATAAAATTTATAAAATTTTTTATATCTGTAAAATTTATAAAAAAAACTTTTAATAGATAAAAGAAAGACAGCTGTTATTTGTTAAAAATTTGATTAAGAAAATATAACTTAGGAAATAGTTCTACAAATATATATCGAATATTATTTAAAAAAAATTCATTTAAACGCCCAAAATTCTCTAGAAACCTAGAAAATCTCTAGAAAATGTTATCATTTTCATAAAGATTCTAACTTCGACAATTTTACCCTCGAATGAATCAAGCTTGTTTAAGATAATTTCGGCGTTAATTACGCCAACTATTCATAACCACCTGCACGATTATTCCAATAATTTACACACATCGATTCGATAGTTTTCGAATTAATCATCACGCGAATCTACCGTGATGTGAATCCATTGAAATTCAAATGAACGATCCTAAACTCAATAGAAATTGACGTGAAATTAAAATTAATTAGACGCAGGAGTATTCTCTGACAAAGGTGTCATTTTTTCAAGAAATATTCGTTCGCATCAGACGCAAGAGAATCCTTTATTCCCCCTCTTGTAATTAGCGAAACTTTCATCCAGTGATAAGAGTGTCGCTGGTCAATCTCAAAGCTCATTTCCCCGAATTGCTGCGGGGGACGCCTCCCTGCCTCGATTCGTTCCAGTGCCACCTCTGAAAAACCTAAACGACATCCCCTTTGAGGCCAACCGAATTCCACTACGAATATCCGACGCATTTCCCGGGAACAGTCAATGAAACTCGACGCTCCCTGCCAGATTGACCTGGTTCGCGGGGCCGGTAACAGTCCTTTCAACATAAACAATATTACATCACGCTCGTGTACTGTAAACCACGTTACAGAGAGCCTTCGTATTGTGAACTATAATGTTTTCTCTCTACCATGTATCCTATTCCGCATACACACACACACACACACACACACAAACACGCACATGTACACACGCGCGCGCACGTTCTTCCTAAGCACTAAATTATAACTTGGAGCTACTGAAATTCTCTCGAGAGAAACGAAACTTTCCCGATTTAAGGGAAACAACGAGATGTAGTTGAACTTATCTTTCTAACATCTGCATGCTACTAACGATACCTTAAGCGACGCACTGACATTTTTGGAAGAGACGTTCGCTGGCGGAATGTAACGTTTGTGCTTTGAACGAAGATCTTTAAAGGGGATGTTGTTTATAAATTTCGAGAAAAGATCGAAACTCCTTTCATTCCGATCCTTCGATAGGGTGATTCACAAGAGTGTTTTGAAGAGAGAGAATTTTGAATAATTTTTGAAAGATCGACCATTGTTGTGCAACTTCAAAGTCAAACGTGTTTTTGACACGCTTTGTTACGCTTAAAAATAGAGGTTTCAATTTTCCTGGGGGATGTTCTTTAAATTTTGGGAATAGATCAAAGCTTCTTTTGTTCTTTACTAAGGAGATTTCTAGAGTGTTTTGGTGAGAGAATTTTGAATAATTTTGAAAGATCGACCACGTAATGTATAACTTTAAAGTCATACGTGTTTTTGGCAACAGGCTAGAAAGTAAATTTTTCAATTTTCCAATTTTAAAGAGTTTTGCTTTAAGATAATTTGATGCACAAGTCATACTGATAAATTCATTTCGTCAAAGTCGAAAGTCTAACAAGTTCCGAAGGATATTATTAACATTAATACATTTTCCACTTTACCCTAATAATTATTACTGTATTATGAAACAAAACTAAATTAGTATTAGTAAGAAGAATTATTGAAAAGAAATCGCTAACGAGAAAAAGCAATAATAAATAAATTAAAGACTCGCAGAACTAGCGTTTCACGAGGAAATATATGCCATTATCTGTAAACACTCGGAGCAACGAGAATACTTCAGATTTTCAGACGATTCACTCTGTACACGTTTCTTTCTCTATCTGTCTCCAGGCAGCAAAACATTCTTCTCTCCAAATTATCACATAGAGATTCTTTCGAATCTAGATTCATCGAGGCCATCGATGTTGCCAGGCCTAGGGACATGACCAGGAACCACGTGGTCAGCACGGAGTATTCCGACAAATTTTTACCCCCACAGATCTACAGGTAAATTTTATAACAGAAATTCAAATTCAAATTCAAATTCAGACATAAAGTTCAATTTCTCGACCATTTCTATTTTATTTTCTCGCGAAGTATCAAACGTGCAATTTGAGAAAATGTAACAAGCGCCTATATTACTTTGTCGAAAGTTCTCATTTGAAACGTCAAATTCATATTTAATTAACCCTCTATGGGCCGATTTTGTTTCTTAAATATAAAAAGATTTATGCAACGGAAAGTCAACAATTATAAACCTATATATATGCAGATTAAAAAAACGTTTATCAGTTTAAACAATTTTATTACAATTAATGTAACCTTGTAACTTTGAAGTAACAACGGTTTACAATATTTGCACTTCTGTGCATAAAAGCTTAAGCACGAAATTCCAAAAAAAAAAACAGTTTGCACTTGGCGTTAAACGTAGACGTACGTTGCATTTGGAACATTTTATTTTTGGAACTCTTTTACACCCCGGCTTCTTGCAGCCTCATCTGTTGTCAATATTGTTATTGGTTATCTCAGAGACATTATATAATTAAGACGTATACATCATCTTGTGAAAGAACTAAAATTGTTTAGTAAAATGTCGATGTATTAGCATGCGACCTGAAAGTTACACGGGCCCATAGAGGGTTAATATAATTTCCATCGTACATTTCAATTCATCGTGCCTTCATCGAAACAAAACAATCACGAAGCTTATACCCTGTTCAGGCAATTTGACAAAAATTTCCATTCGAATTGAAATTGTAGCTACGAAGTGTGACGTGGGGAAATGGTCAACGAACCATTGTTATTCAAAAATTTCCCGGCTTTTTAGCAACGAGGTTTCCCATCACGTTAGATCAGTTCGAAATTGACGTTCGCTTCGATCCCGTAACGTAACGAACGTTCCCTTAAGCTAAACAGACCGACCATGTTCTTCAAACATTCCCCAAATTCCCAATAAAAATGCAAAGCTTGTCTAGCGGGGGCAAAGAACGTCTCAGAGGAACATTTGCGTAGGAACTTTCGATCACATCAGCGAGATTCGCGAACGTGGCAAGCACAGAGACACACACACACACACACACACACACGCGTGCACGAACACACATAGCAAGACCCAATTACCACACACGTGTACTCTTTTCTAGATATTTTGTAATCCAAGCCTCTATATACCGTCGTTCTTTCCAAACGTTTTACGTTAGTCGAAAATAGATCGAACGAAACCCAGGCACGGGAGGACGTGCTACGCACTCGAAGCGTTCAAACGCTAGATTTTCAATTAACCGTGTCGATTTCGCTGTTTATTTGTCACTTTCGATGATCCAAGAGAAGAATAAAATGTTTCGACTGGCCGAACGATCGACTAATTTCAACTGTAAAACCGAAGATTGGTAATTATCGGTGGCCCATTATTTTGCAAATAATTACCCAAAGATTCAGTCAAGTCCTAGAAAACACCATCCCGTGTTTCGTGTTGAATTTGAAACGCAATTAAAAGGCTTCTTATCATCTTAGCGTTATTTACGTTATTTGCTGTTTTCGACTCTTCGAGTATCAAACGTGCGGTAGTAATATGAATATTCTTCAATTGCCAGATAGTACGTTTCGTTTTAGAATAAGAGACACATCGAGTTGAACGCATTAAAGATATTATTACAGTATTATGCAAAGATTTCGCATGGAAAACATTCGTTCTTGTTTTTCTAACAGCTTCCTGTACTACACAAAATGCTACAAATTCTGTACAAAATTTTGGGAGTGTAGCATAAAGAGAAACTAGATAGAAAGATAAGAAACGTATTAGAGAGAAAGAATTTATCGTTTATTATATCGTTTCTTATTTTTCTATCTGTCCTTTATACTACATAACAAAACTGTTATACAACGTATATCACACTACGCTACACAGAAGTTTGATGTGTAATTTTCGTATTTGTGAAAATTTTCTCTGTCTAATACATATATATATATTATAAAATATTATATATATATAATAATTTATAATTATATTATATATATAATATTTTATAATTATATTATAATTATATTATATATATATATATATATCATTTAATGGTCCTAGTTTCACACGTTTCACTTTCGTCGCAATCTAACAAAAAAAAATCGCTTGTTCCGCGTAGGGTTCCGGACGACGGTGCAGCCAGGACGGAGATCGCCGAAATGGAGACAGTTCTGTGATCGTAGAGAACCGGCCACGATTGCCCAGCCACGTCGTCGCAGCGATCATAATAAGCGTCCTCAGGCAGCGGATCGACTCGCCTCCGCCATTTGCGGAATACGAGTTCGTGCCTCGTAGCCTCGCGAGATGCGAGGGACCCTCGAGACCGAGCTGTTTCGAGCGATCGTTCAAAGGAGAAATTGGAGATTACCGAGGGACATGCACGAATAATCTCGTCCACGGGAAGAACGTTCAGTGCCTATGGGAGAATATGTATCGAGAAACATCGAGATCACGATCGTTCTTCTCTCTATGAACGAACTTTCATCGTCACCACGACCACGTTTTTCCACACGTTCGCCACAAGGGAAAAGGGTGAAGGCCTCAAGTGCGCCGTGTGTTCACGTTGTGATTGCATCGCAAGTCGAAATCATTGGACGAACAAATCATTTGTTTGAAATTTCTGCTTACTGTCTCAGCGACGGTAATTTCTCTTGTAGAATGGAATTCTCCGAGAGATGAAATTTTTCAGAGAGGACGACTCGGGAGTGTCGTTTCAAGGAGTGGCCTCTACTGTTAGCTGAGGTCGAAGAAAGGAATATTGAGTGGTTTTGTGGTAACTGTGTACTTCGACACTCGAGCAGTATTTCTGATTTTGTTGGATATGTAGTACGTATCACTCAGTTCGAAGAAAATTTGGAAATTTGAATTTGCTTCTTTGCGTGTCACCTAATTGAAAAAGATTTCTGAAGGAAATTCGGAAGTATTCGAATTTAATTCTTTCGGTCCTTCGTTTTCTTGTCTGACGCGTTGTCTAATTTGAGATTTTCGAATTCAATTCCTTTTTGTTATTGACTTTCACGTTTGGTATACGTCGCCTAATTTGAAGAGATTAACATCTTTCACCATGATATTAAAACTTTCGTACCATTGCTACTTGTTTCATTGTGAAATTTTAATTGTAAAATTATGAAAGAATTTGGGAACGATCGAATGACGTCTAAAGTTTGGTACTGTGAATCACGTTTGCAGGCGAGCTTGTGCCTGGTTTAGAAAAATAAATAGAGAGAAAAAGAGAGGATAAAACAGAAAATAAAAGAAAAAGAAGAAACCAAAAGACATAAGTTATATTCAGGCAACAACAATGCAATAGATAGTTATTGAAAATTCCTAAATCTTTTGAGAATTTCGTTAAAACTTTGTACGAAACTCTGGCCCGTTTTTCAGAAATAGGGCGTCAACTTCGAGCCAACGATTGTTCGTTAAAACGGATGTTAGGGCTAGTAAACTATTACAAAAGAACGAAAACGAAATAAAAAGGATATATATATATATATATATATATATATATATATATATATTTAAAAAGGGGGAAGGAAATAGAAAAAAACCAATCGTCATTTTCATGGAGATATGTCAGTGTGTACCATACAAGATATAACTATGACATTTGAGTATGTCATATATACATATATATATTTAATACGTAATGTACACACGAGCTACTATTATACGTTAAGTATGTATATTGTGGTAAAAAGAACAATGAAACATTCTAAAAGAGACCTATTTCGAAACGTAAAATGCTCAACAAAAGAAAAAAAAGAAAAAAAAGGAAAAAAAATAATAAAGATCCATCGAGCGTAAAAATAAAATAAAATTGCATCGAGAAGTGTCAGGCGTTGTGCGTGTGAAATTTTTAATAAGAAATATATCTATAGGATGACCTGGTAACGATCTTTAGTTTTATAAATATTCTGATATTTCCTTTCTTTCTGAACGAAATTTCAATATTAATTTGAATATTAATTAATTAATAATCTTATTATTAATTTATATAAATTTAGATATTGTCCGAAATATATTGATTTATGAATGTGTTTATATTATTGATGTTCTAAATGGTCAGTTTTTAGTACGGTTCAATGCACGGAAATTTATTAAAACGAACACGCGTCTACAAGAATTTATTTTCTTACGAATGCAGCCTTCAATATTATCACTACAACCAAGATACTTTGCGTGTCACGTAAACTACTCTTCATTAACTTCGTAAATATATAACGAATGAATTGTTACTGGTTCGTGCGATGTTTCAAAATTCAAACGATAATGAACAACCAAGGAAATAACAAATTCGGAGTTGAAAAAATATTTCTATTATTATACGCGACGGTGCCTGAAACAGTGAATTTCAAGCGTGTGTAATATCATTAAGGTGAAATATTTTTTAGAAGACGTGAGATCGCGCGATCGTTCGAAGCGTTTTGCGCCGATTCGACACCCTGACACTTCGCAGTTTCTGCAAATAAAAAACCAAAAAAAGAAAAAAAAAAAGGAATATAAAATCCTCGTAAATAGTTTGAAAAAGAGACAGTTCTTTTGAGCTAAGCGCAGAAAAAAACCAAAGATTTTGTGTGTGTGTGTGTGTAGGAAAATCGACAAAGATAGGATTAATGTTCTAAAACTACGTCCGCTGTACATAGAACGCATTGTACCGTACACAAGCCACAAGAGTAAAACATCGGAAGAGAAATTTCGTTCTTTTTACTATATTCAAAACGGTTTTCATCAAATAAAATATTGAATAGTGAAACGAAGAATGTAAGTATACTTTGCTGTAAAAAGAAAAAAAAAAAAAAACAAAAAAGAAGAAGAAGAAGAAAAACGCCGCTGCAGTTTCTCGACGCGAACGAAATCGAAAGCCGGGAAAGAAATTACGAAACGATGAAAACGTGAAATGAAGTTCCACAAATCCCCTCGCTTAACACTGGAACCATCGATCGACTAAAGTATGAAACTTAAGCAGAAAATAGGAAAAGAGTTCAGAACGCGATACATAGAAAACGTAAGATTTTATTCATATGTAAATTTCATGAGAAATCATTCGAATTTATAAAATTGCAACGTTCTGAATTTATAATATTTCGATTGAAGAATAACGAATCAATCATTCGATATAATTCATCTCGATAAAATTTACGGATTTATTAATTAAACTTGATGGTTCTAGCGTTAACATAGCTGAGACTTTCTCGAGATTTTCAATTTTCATTTTATACCGAGTCTGAATTTCGAAGAGCTCGGGCTATCAAACGATTTGATCGAACGTTTTCTAACGCTTCGCGTTCTATTGTGGCTTATGCCGCCCGTCGAGAAACTCCACTTTAGCAAAAAAAAAAAAAAAAAAAAAAGCACTTGTTTCGACTCCTCGTTCAAGCGCAGACTCACGCATTCGAAACGACATTTGCTCAGGAAAAACAAAAACAAAAACAAAAAAAAAAAAAGAGAAAAAGAGAATAATTCCACGGAGAAAAAAAAATCGTAACCGTTCACCGATTTTTAAAGCACTTTCTATCAGCTTTTCGAGATGTGAAACGACACGATTGCCTCGAGGACGAGACACGAGTGCTGAAACACATAACCGAACATAAAATAACGAAGAATAAAATACGGGGATCGCGATTTCTAACAATAATCACGTTGCTATCGGCGAATAAACACGTTGTTATTGTTGTTATTGTTAAAGATAATGGAAGTGTTACGTTGTTGAGAGAACGACGCGAACGTACGTAGAGAGAACGAGATTAATTAGTTACGCTTTTTTCTTTTTTCGAAACGAGTCTGTGGAATGGAAGAATGGACTGAGAAAAGGGAATAACGACGAGGCGTGTCGATTATGCCGTAACTAATGTATCTTTATCTGCTACTCTTAAGTACCTAAAAGAAACGGGCGTCAAGCTTTTAACCCATTACTTCCGGTCGACGTGAGATCTTAACACGTTAACTGCCACGCGAAATTTTCTATCTCTCGCCCGTGATGTTTCATTTAAAAAATATTGACTACCGAACTTTTAGAAAATATTTTATTATAAATAATAGTACGTCAATGCGCGAAAAACGTATTTCTCATTTTACAATTGTTTCACTCGGTTGTTTCGAATTTTTCGAAAATGCAACGAAAGCGTACTTTTTTTTCATTAGATAATATTATTGAAGTATTTCAAACTTTGTAATAAAATGAAAGCGCATTTTTCACTGTATAATGTCATTCAGTTATTTTGAATTTTGCAATAAAAGTGCAATGAAAGTGCATTTTCCATTGGACAATATTACCCGATTATTTCAAAATTAATAATAAAATTAAAGCGCAGTGAAAGCGTGTGTTTCATAAAATAATATCATTCGGTTATTTTAAATTTAATAATAAAATTAGAATGCATTATTCGTTAGATAATATTGTTCAATTATTTTGCATTTTGTGTTGGTTCAGCTTATAATGTTTCAATCGTTCTGAAATATTTACTGAACTGGAAATACCGACGCTTGGCGATCATTGTGGCAGTTAATATGTTTAAACGGTGTTTCCATCCGACACGAACGCGAGATTTCTTTTCACCGTGTGCGCACACGCGACTATACATAGTAGCACTAATCAAAGATAATCACGCTTTCATTATAAACCTAGAACGAATATCGACGACACTTGTTTGTATTAAAAAGATGGATCCTCTTTCGAACGGACGTGAATTTCATCGTGGGAATTCGCGTTGATACAACGAACTGGTTTCTTGACAATTATCCGATGTTTCTTCCTGTTTGAGACGATCGCGCGCTTTAATTGAGGAATCGCTCAAAATCTGAAGCGTGAGGTTAAAACAATCGACAGCCTCTTCTGCTATTGGAAAAGTAATTTCTGACGTGAAAGTTAAAAGTCGATAGTTTAAAAAAAAAAAATTGTGAAATTTGATTTTCGTTGGTGACGCGTTCGTACGATTTTTAGAAGAAAGTGATTGTAACTGGCACGACACGAGGAAAGAAATTATAAAATTATAAAATTGCTTCTTTTATAAAGACTGTCGCGATTATTCTACACAGAATTCAACAGAAAAACTGCAAAACTTTCATTTATCTCGTTGTTTATTTATCGATCGATTGACCATAAGAACGGGTAAATTAGAACATTAGAGACAGACCTATGTACGTGAACCTAACAATCGTGCGCACACACGAAATAGCGGCCTTAATGATGATTTTTCAGCGTCGTCACTCGTGATCTCCGAAGACTCGTAACCGTAATCGTAAACTAGTCGTCCCTACACGGAACGATAGGCTTCCCTTTCGCTATTTTCACCCGAGATTCGCGTATTCATCCTTCGACCAGGACTCTTCCGATCGGCGAATCTTCGTCACTTCGTTCGACAAACAATTGTTTGCCACTCATAATGATCATCGTGATGTGCCAAATAGTTTTTACAAGGAAGACGAGTAAGAAGAATAGAGAAGAAATGCAACAAATTAGAAATCCGTTAGCTGGATATAAGCATATCAATAATATTATCGAAATGACTGACTTCCCTCTCGTAGCAACAACGGAATTTTCGCGCCTGAATTTGATGTAACGTCGTTACGAGAAGTCAGTCTTGTGATCGTCACAACGACGATTTAAATAAATTCGGTGATGCATATTTCTCAAAAATTATTTGGCACTGAGTTACGACGAAATTTTCTTCTCGATCGAGATTTGCTATCGTTTGCTTTTCAATGGAAGATACAACGAAATATCATTTTAACGTTTCTCTCTGAATTTTACTCGATGGTTCGAGGCTTGTTCATTATTCAACGTTTCGCACGTCATCTGTAGACTGTGAATTCATGTTTACAATAATTTTCGATAGATTATTAAATTTTGTAATTACATATTTTGATCATTTCATGTATTCTTTAATTTTCATGGATATATTACTAAAGCAGTGGAGCCTACGTGAAAATTCTTTTCTGTAATGAATACTCTACTTTAGATATTTTATTTTGTATATTATATACATTTTGTGCAATGAATACTCTACTTTACAAAGTAAAATATCTACTTTAGATATTTTATTTTGTATATTATATACAGTTTATGCAATTTTGCGTTTAAAAATTTCCCATGAACAGAAAGAAATCCACGGGTGTGATTGAAGGTGCTTTTATTATTCGTGCCATTAAAATAATCTCTTATAATCCACCAAAATGTACAAATTACAAACACCAAAAACCGAAGAACGTTTCACACACACACTATTTGTCGTGTAGTCTAAAGCATCGATTCAGTATTATTAAAAGAGAGAAAATGGCAATGACGAAGCAACAACTGTAGCAATATTAGCAAACGGAACTAACCTGTACTATAAATAAAACGCGACAGATCAGAAGAGTCCAAGGTGCTCATACAAACCAAGTTTAAAGTCGCATCCCTCAGTGGACCCTAAGCTAGATTAGTAAAATATAAACATAATGAACTGAACAGAGTGGCCATTTTTTTTTTTTTT